GTGGGGCCCAGTGCAGGCTGTGGGGTTTATTGCCCACGTGTTACCTCCATGCAGTGCTTCCTGCTCCACAGACAGCTCCTTCATCAGAGCTTCCCAACTCTGATTCTGTGCCAAATGGTTGGCACAGATAAGAGTCATTCTTTACTTCCTCCCCTCTTCCCGGTAGCTTAAGAACAAGAAGACATGGAAGCTGGAATGGCTGAGACCTTAGCTGCTTGGAGAAGGGGACAGGCTCATCTCTACATGGGGATGTCCCACCCTGGACATGTCCCAGGGAGTAAAGGCCAGTGGCCAGGTTGAACCTGGGAAGGCTCTTGTTCAGCTGGTGTGGGCACATGCCAGTACTCCAAAGCAGGGCTTTTGACCCCAAACCAAGTGCCAGCACATTTGGGGGTGACTTTTCCCTCATCTTCTTGTTTAATGACTTAACATTTTAAATGATTGTATATCTCCCCTGGATTTCTAGAAGGTAGGAAAGAGAATTGCACTTACCGTCGTGGATTTGGTTGTAGTGGGGATGAGACAAGGGAGCAGAGGTGGGTGGTCTTCTCTCACCCCTTAAATCCTTTCTGCTTTATTCTTCTCCACAGCATTTAGGATCTTCTAATATCTTATATAGTTTACTTCTTTATTTTGATTTTATAACTATTTACCCACTAGAATGGTAGTGTCCTCTATGAAGACAGAATTTTTGTGTGTTTACAGCTGCTATTATTTGTACATCTAAACCTGTGTCTGGTACCTAGTAGGTGCACAATAAGTATTTGTTGATTGAAATAATCCTTCCACTAGTAGTAGCTGTTCTAGTCAACCCCAGAGTCCCTGAATTTGCTTCATATAGGATCAGAAGCTTTCAAAATATAAATCCTAGAAATTGCTGTAGTGATTCATACTGTGGACCTTCTAGATCGGTATTTGATGGGATGAATGAATGTGATGACAGGGCCTGGCTGTTCTCTTTGACATCTGCCTCAAGGGTTGGAGATCATCATTCGTTCATTCACTCAACCAGACATGCAAAGAGTCAATCTTTTATCAGTAATTAGCTCTGAGGCTAAAAAGCTATGCAAGGCATATAGGTCCATACGCTCGTAAATCTAGTCATCCGTAACTAGATCAACATTTTGGGGGGGAAATTATTTATCTGTTCCCACCCTGGGAAGAAGTGTTCCTTAGCTTTACTACTTCCTTTATAATATAATTTTGCATCCAGAGCCTTAAGTGAGTCCTTCAAGGAGAAGCCCACTGCCCAGTGGCCTCTTCAGGCCCAGGTGGTTGGGTCGAGCTTCTTGTCAGCGCAGGTCCCTGGTGCTACCCGTGGTTCACTATGTCAAAATCATGAGCTCCTTTTAACTCACAGAGAAACTCTTTTTCTTTTAATGGTGACATGGGGTCAGTGATGCTGGATCAATATAAGAGAAAGACACAGTAGGGGTATATGTGATGGTAGAGGAAAATGGGTAGAAAATTTCAGACTTGAAAAGTGCCTCCTCCTGTTTTTCCTGCTGCCAGCTCTCAGCCCTTCTCTGATAAGGGGTCTAGCGGTGAGCACATCACTAGTACCATGTATTAATTTCTTCCATGGTCACATCCTAGAAAATGGAGGGAGATGTCAAGAACTTAGTGACTTTTTCTGTATGACTTAGCGACAGCACATGTGAAAAGACTTCAGAGTCTTGGTCTATTGTAAACTCATAGTGAATCAACACTGGGATGAGGCTGTTGAAGGGGAGCAATAATTATGTTCAAAGTGAGGTCGGTGGTTGTCCCCTCACCTGAGTGGATGTGGCAGCCCCTAGGGCCCCGTGCTGGAGGAAACACAGAGTAGACAAGAAAATACCCGGGGTGAGCACACTCAAAACTGTTCCATATGAAGAGCAGTTGAAAGAACTGGTTTTATTTTATTGAAGACTCAGAAGGACTATAAGTGCTGTCTTCAAACGATGGAAGGGCTCTCCGTGTGGGAGAAGTACCAGACCGTTCTGGAGCCTCAGGTCTTGGATGAGGATGACTGGGTGGAAGGACTTCCTGTTCAAAGATGGCCACCTGAGGACCTGCCTCTGAGCCTCACTCACTGCCTGATCCCTTAGGAAGAGTGCAAGTCCTGATGTGTATCCGATGAGCTCAGATTCCTACTAAAGCCAGCCTAGGGCATGGTAAGCAGATAAGCTGACCAGGTCGAAGAGAAAATGACAGCTGTCATTTGGGACCATCTTCTGTGATCCCTCTTTCCCCAATTTGCCTTCAGTTGGCTTTTATTTTTCTGTTCCCTTTAAACCATTTTCCCATATCTATTGACCCAACAATTCATGTTTTGGGAGTCTGTATTATTGAAATAAAAATTTAAGTGTGTATTGATATATACCTTCTTCTGTATCATTAAATACATATAATAGAATTATATATAATTATGTATTATGTATAATAGAATTGTTTGAATTGCAAAAATGTGGAAACAACCTGAATGATGATTAAATGGAAGAGTGGAGTGAATTCTGGTGTATCCACAATATGAACTCTTCTGCAGTCATTATAGACGAGTTAGATCTTCATCTACTGTCCTAGAGGAATGAGCAAAATGTAGAGTTAAGTGAGAAAAACAAGAGAAATGTATGTAGTATGATCTCATTTTGGGAGAATAAATTAGAAGAAACAATCCCTCACATATGCAGTCACATTGGCATGCATTTGTGTGAGGATGGCCAGGGGTGGAGGAAGATAGAGGAAGTTGTGAACAGTTTTGGAGAGTTGGGGATGGGGCGGGAACCTGAGGGACAGAAGGGGTAGGAATAGAGACAAAGACGGAGAGTGGAAGGGATGGCTCATGCCTCTGTCTGTCTGTCTATCATCTATCTGTCTATCTATCACTTATCATCTATCTATCTATCACTTATCATCTATCTATCATCTATCTATCTATC